TCGTATTTCAATACTTCTTTGAATACATGTATCAAGTGTAGCATTCATATGCCATCTTAGATAGTCGAGCCTATTCTTTAGCATCCTTGTATGAGTGTGAGTATTGCCATGTTTCGCATGCTTGCCATGAGGCTATTTACTTAAGTGATTAACTGCATGAATGTCTGTGGATGAAGGCTTGATTGCTTGAATTGGAACAACTCGATGATTATGAGTTTTAAAGCCCACTTTGTGAAGTGGCAAAATCATGTTTTAAAGCCCACTTGAGGGTGATAAATCCGCGCTTTAGCCTACTTGCGAGTAGCACTTTCAAACCATTTTCAAAAACAAACATGAGTTGTTTTGTTCCAATTATGTTGAGCGCATCACGTAGTAAGTTAGCTAATAACCGGAATAAGAACACATGTGTTTATCAAACAACATATCATGTTTAGTAGATGCCGATCCTTTGATCGGGCAAGCGGGGGTGCTCATTTTATGACCTTCCCCTCTAGTACCCAAGTTCCAGAGCTGAGGCAACTTTGGTGATGACGAACACGTGGCCTTTGGCACGAGTCAGGGTGTCCTAAATTTCCCAAAAACAAAACATTTAGGTGGCGACTTTGTAATCTGGCAAAGCAGTCCATGTTTGGCGCTTTTTGATTCAAAATTGATTTTTCAAAACCAATTGCCAGATTTGGACTCTTTGGTGATTTATCAGTCTCACATTGCACTTTGTGAGATTAGATTCAGAACCGTGACGGGAGTCTGAACTGTAGTAAGACCAATTCGCGCCCTCTCCAAAAAGGGGGCACGTAGAGGAAGTCGGGCGCTACAATGTCACATATCAAAGTTTAATCATATATCAGACATAACGTACATAGGATAAGGTACTCACAAAAGTGAATAAGATCTTAACTAACATCTATTAACACAAAACGTTAACAGAGCATAATATTACGCTACTATCACTCACTGTGATGCGGGTGAACGCTGGTCCCCTCCTGTGGATGCCCTACACATAACATATAAATCATAGGTACATCATTATTCTTAGTTTCCTTTCAATTCTCAATTATTCAACTCGTTACGTTTCATGTAATTAAATCCATTATAGGAACATCGAACGGACATAACAACGCATTCAAAGGGTCGAGAAGAGCGAAAGAAAGTTTCAAAATTTTCCAATTTGGGTCGCATGTGCGGAAGTCCTTGCCGCACGTGCGGGTAGGTGCACTGCACGTGAGGGCCACACATGCCTTTTAGCAGTGTAGTTCGACCCTTCTCCCTTGTTTTTTGCACATGCGGTTGTGAGCCCTGCATATGCAGTATCATAGTATACTATCACAAGGAACATGAATCATAAGCATAATCAATCCATACTCCTCTTAAATTCATATATATACATCTCAAATTCTTTATATTTCAACCATGCTTGGTTTATCACAATATATCTCTATCAAAACATCAAGATGCATGAGCGAGCTTAAAATGTGTAGAACCAAAGAAACATAGCTCAAAATAACCCCCAAACCCAAGGATCATCTACCAAAGCAACCAAATTCCATAAGCAAGGCTCTTATTGTAACCCTAACTTACATGAATATAAAGATTTTCCTTCCCAAATCAAATAGAGGGAGAGATTAGAATATTCTAGTTAGATTGTACGTACCTTGAACTCTAGCCTCAAACCCTATTTTAATTCTTTCAATCTTCCCCCTTGATAAGCCTCTCTTCTTCCCTCTTCTTTCTCCCTCTCTTGGGTGTTCTCTAGAATTCCCCACTCAATATATATAAGGAGATGAGTTCATAAAGAGACTTATATAACACATAAATAAGTCTTGAACTTCTAGACTTCCCAAATGAGCCTTAGCGAATTAGACAAAATAAATTTTCAATTAAACCTCCCAAGTGGCTTTAAAAATTCCCACTAGCATGTTCACATACTCAATTTCAGTTTATCGCACCTCTACGGCTTAAATTTCCAAGTTAACATTTTAATTTTAACAGATATGTTTCAATAATCAATAGATAGAATAACATGGTCAAACAATTCACACATGTAAGCATAACTTTGCATGAAATTTCACATTAAACACGTAATTTCTCATAGAACTAGGGACGTAAAGCATATAAGAGGGTCGGGTTATTACACTTTCCCTCCCTTAAATAAGTTTGGTCCCCAAACTACCTTAGGTCGTAAATAACTCTGGGTACCGTTGTCTCATTTCCTTCTCTCGTTCCCAAGTAGCTTATTTTCCATAATGCTTCTGCCATTCTACTTTCACCGTAGGAATCACTTTACTTCGTAATTGTTTCATTTGGCAGTCCAGAATCTGAATTGGTTTCTCCTCATAAATCAATTTATCGTCTAAGGTAATTTTCTGATAGTCTATAACATGGGATGGATCTTGCAAATAACTTCGTAACATTGAGACATGGAATACGTTATACACATGGTCCATATTCAGTGGAAGAGCGACACAGGCTACCAGACCTACCCTTTCTAGGATTTGAAACGGACCTACGTATCGGGGTGCTAACTTACCCTTTTTACCAAATCTCGAGTGCCCCTTTATTGGCGTGACTTTTACAAAAACATGATTACCCACTTCGAATTCCAAGTCCTTTCACCGGTGATCTGCATAGCTCTTTTGTCTACTCTGTGCGGTTTTTAACCTTTCTTGAATAGTTTTGATTTTCTCTGTTGTCAATTGCACAATTTCTGGCCCAATCAACGATTTGTCATCGACTTCAGTCCAGCATACGGGAGAGCGACATTTTCTTCCATATAGAGCTTCATAGGGTGATATTTCTATACTCGAGTGCTAACTATTGTTGTATGCGAACTCCGCCAACGGTAGATGAGTTTCCCAGCTTCCTTTGAAGTCCAATGCACACATTCGAAGCATGTCTTCCAGTGTTTGTATAGTCCTTTCAGATTGACCATCTATCTGAGGGTGGAAGGCTGTATTGAATTTCAATTCTATTCCCAAGGCATCCTGTAAACTTTGCCAAAATCTTGATGCAAACTTTGGATCTCTATCGGACACAACTGAAACTTGTACGCCATGTAGTCGCACAATTTCATCTATATATATAGTAGCCAGCTTGTCTGCATTGTATTGAGTCTTTATAGGTAGAATGTGAGCTGACTTGGTTAGTCTATCCACAATGACCCATATAGAGTTCATGCCCCGAGGAGTTCGCGGTAAACCCACAATAAAATCCATAGTTAAATGTTCCCATTTCCATTCTGGAATTGGTAGGGGTTGAAGTAGGTTTGCTGATCTTTGGTGCTCCACTTTCACTTGCTGACATTGTAAACACTTTGACGCATATTCTGCAATTTCCCTCTTCATACCTGGCCACCAAAAATTCTGTTTCAAGTCGTGGTACATTTTTGTGCTACGAGGATGCATCACAAATTTGGAACTATGTGCTTCCCCCATAATTCTCTTCTTGATTTCTGGCACGTTAGGAACAAACCACCTACCCTGGAATTTCAATACCGAATTTTCAATTATGAACCCGGGTCTTGGTTTCATTTCCAGTTCATCACAAATTCTCTATAGAAATTCATATTCTAGTTGCCGTTGTTTAATTTCTTCCATAATTGCTGGTTGGGCTGCTATCGCTGCTATTGTTGCATTTTGATCATGTAACACAAGTCCCACATCTATTCTTTTCAAGTCACGTAATAACTCCTTCTACCTCGTGAGCAGATTTGCCAAACTCCTCGTACTCTTTCGGTTGAGGGCATCTGCAACTGTATTAGCTTTACGGGGGTGGTAATGAATTTGTAGGTCATAATCTTTAATAAGCTATAACTACCATCTCTTACGCATATTCAATTCCTTTTAAGTAAAGAAGTATTTAAGACTCTTATGATCGGTATAAACCTCACACCTAGCCCCATATAGATAGTGACGCCATATTTTCAAAGAAAAGACCACTGTAGCTAGCTCAAGGTCGTGTGTGGGGTAGTTCCTTTCATGGGGTTTAAGTTGACGAGAGGCATATGCAATAACCCTCCCATTTTGCATAAGTACACATCCCAAACCTTTGTGAGAAACGTCATTATAAATCTCAAATCCTTCGTTACTGGATGGTAAGGCCAAAACAGGTGTAGTAGTTAATGTTATCTTCAGTTCCTGAAAAGCAGATTCCCGTTGCTCCGACCATTCAAACAATTGGGTTAACTGAGTAAGCGGTACCACAATTTTGGAAAAGTCTTTGACAAACCGTCGGTAGTATTCGGCCAAACCCAAGAAACTACATACTTCTGACATATTAGTAGGCGTCGGCCAATTCACAATAGCTTCAATCTTGTGCGGATCAATGGCAACATCCTCATTCGTCACCACATGTCCCAAAAATCCTACTTCATGTAACCAAAATTCACATTTCTTTAATTTTACATACAATTTCTTTTCCCGGAGAGTTTGAAGAATTATCCGTAGATAATTCTCATGAGCTGCCATACTTGTTGAGTAAATGAGGATATCATCAATAAATACAACCACAAAGTCATCCAGGTAGGACTTAAAAACTCGGTTCATTAAATCCATGAAGGCCGCTGGTGCATTAGTTCCCCCAAATGGCATAACTAGAAATTCATAATGTCCGTAACGAGTCCGGAAGGCAGTTTTCTCAATATCTTCAGCTTTAACCTTTAGTTGGTGATACGCCGACCGCAAATCTATCTTAGAGAAAACTTGTAGCACCCTGTAATTGATCAAACAGATCATCGATCCTGGGCAAAGGATATTTATTCTTTAAAGTTACTTTATTGAACTCTCTATAATCTACACACAACCAAAGGGTCCCATCTTTCGTCTTCACAAAAAGGACTGGTGTCCCCCAAGGAGAAGTACTTGGGCGAATAAATCCTTTGTCAAGGAGGTCTTGCAGTTGGACCTTCAACTCTTTCATTTTAGCGGGAGACATTCTATAAGGGGTCTTAGAAATGGGCCAAGTTCCTGGCACAATATCAATTGTAAACTCAATTTCACAATCCACTAGCTCTCCTGGTAACTCTTCTGGAAAAACATCCGGAAATCCCGCACAATTGGAATTGTATCAATGCCCCCATTCACTGGTTGTTCATCCAAAATACTACACAAATACCCCTGACAACCCTTTTGTAATAACTTACATGCCTTCATTGCAAAAATCAAGTAGGGTGGGGAAACTACCCTCTGGCCCTTAAAAACAAACTCAGATTGTCCTGGGAGTTGGAAAGTAACTTGCTTCGAGACACAATCTATAGTCGCGTGATACTTGCTTAACCAATCCATCCCTAGAATTATGTCAAAATAAGTCATATCAAGAGGCAACAAGTTGGCATCTACCCTAACATCCTCAATTAGGATTTCACATGCAAAATAAATAGATGCACATACTATGGACTCCCCCGTTGGTGAGGACACACACAAAACATAAGGTAGTGATTCCCTTGGCCTATTTAAATGGCTAGCAAATGCTTTTGATACAGAAGAATGGGTAGAGCCCGAGTCAAATAACACATGTGCAGAATAACCATTAACAGAAAATGTACCTGATACCACATCCTCAGTATTTTGTACATCGCCCGGAATTAGCGCAAACACCCTTCCTTGTTTGGTGGTATCTTGAGTGTTGGTGGGTTTCGTAGCTGTCTTTGTAGTTGGGATAGAGGTTGATCCAACTGAACTTGCGGTGGTTCTATTCCCATTCTGTCGATTCTTTTGTGGACATTCTCTGGCTAAGTGACCTGTCTTTCCACACTTGAAGCATGCCCCTGTTACTCGGTAACAAATCCCACGGTGTCTATTTCCACAATCCAGACAAATTGGTGCAGAGTCACAAGTAGAGGCAGATATACTAGAAGTTCTTGAATTCAACTTCTTACTTGGCGGTGTCACTGAGCCCCTTGAGGTTTGAATATTCTGTCTTTTCCCTCTCCATTCCGAGACCCGGCTTTGAGCGGCAACATTACCTTCAGCAATCACTGCCCTTTGCAACACATCTACATACGTAGGTAGTTTCAACACATTAATTTGGTCGAGAATAGCAGTCTGTAACCCACCTTCAAACTTTCTTGCCTTCTTGTAATCCGTATCCACCATATATGGTACCAAACGGCCAATTCAGCAAATTGACCCTCATACTCTGCAACAGTCCTGTTCCCCTGTCTCAAGGTCTCAAACTCAGTCACCTTCTTATCTCGCATGCTTTGAGGAAAATACTTGTCATAGAATAGCTCCAAAAATCTATCCCATGTTAATCCTTGATGTACAGTTCTCGTGAGCATCCACCATCTTTGTGCTTCATCTTCGAGAGTGAAGGTAGCAAGTTGCACTTTTTGGGCTTCAATACAAGGAAAAACCTCGAAATAACTTTTCGATACCCAACACCCACACTTCGGCTTTCATTGGTTCAATTCCTCCATTGAACGAAGGCGGCTTCATCTATTTGAATTCCTTCGTGAGTGTAATTGTCCGATCCTCAGCTTGATAATCTTGTATCCTTGGCGGTGGTACCGGCATGGGTGGTGGTGGTTGTTGCTGTTGTTGCCTCAGAGTTTCTGTCATCACCATAATCATCATTTCCATTCTATCCAACCGTACGGCGGTAGCATCTTCCAGATCATCTGTTCTGGTTCTCACCATGATCTATATAACGATTAGTTATAATACATACAAAATGCACAAGTAGGCATGGATCATGATCATTGCCAATGTATATATATCCATGATTATTATATATGCACTGAAAGTCACATGCATGTGTAACTTAAGTCTTTACTAGACGCTCAAAAGCTTAATGAACTCGTGCGTGAGATAGCAACTCGTGCTCTGATACCAACTGTCACGACCCAAACCTGCCCCTGGAAGTTTGGACATGATTGGCCTAACCTTAGACCTCAATTTAGAAACATCTTAAAGTTTACTCAATATCGGGGCCTGAATGGAAGCAAAATAATAGAAAGATAAAACATTCATTGAGCTGTGTCTAAATGCCACTACTATACACATACAACATCCTACGCACCATTCACATTACTGAGAGTAAAAGAAAAAAAGAACCAACCCATTATGTTTAGTGTTGTCGACATTTACATACATATCTATTCTTCCCAGTCATAACAAAACATGCCATTAAAAGGCTTTCCAAAATAAAGCAAGGAGTCATTTCGGGTGACTCAGCAAAACGAGTTCAGCTACAGGCTTCTGGGCTGACCTAGGGTTGACCCGCAAGCTGGTTACCTACAAAACATTTAGGAAAGCATAGTGAGCAAGGCCTAGTGAACGATAGTAGTACAAATAAATTAAAAGTGTGAGCATAAGTTAACATTCACGTAAATAAGTCTTTAACTTCTAGACTTGCCAAACGAGTCTTAGCAAATCAGACAAAATAAATTTTCAATTAAACCTCCCAAGTGGCTTTAAAAATTCCCACTAACATGTTCACATACTCAATTTCAGTTTATTGCACCTCTACGGCTTAAATTTCCAAGTTAACATTTTAATTTTAACAGATATGTTTCAATAATCAATAGATAGAATAACATGGTCAAACAATTCACACATGTAAGCATATCTTTGCATGGAATTTCACATTAAACACGTAATTTCTCATAGAACTAGGGACGTAAAGCATATAAGAGGGTCGGATTATTACAGTCTCTATGCTAGTTCTTCTGAGTTTCTAGTGTAGAGTTCTCACATGGTGTTCTCAACGGTTGCATAGTCCGCTAGCTAGTATGATCGTGTTTGATGGATAGACTACGATAAAGGAAGTACGATGTCATGCCAGTACATGTTCGAGTGGGAGATGTTGGAATTGGGTCAGGTTTAGAACCCATATCCAATTGGGTCATCCATGGTGACGTGACCGAAGACGCATAAGGAGAGATCCAGTCTAAGTGGATTTGGATTAACTTATCCTGCGAATAAGTGTGATTAACCCACTATCTCATCTATTGAGAAGATAGAGTTGTTGGTAGTTATAACTCTCCGACATAATATACGTATTATATCTAGGAGAGTAAGAATTTAACCGTATGGTTAATCTACTAGTCTCTTTCTCCTAATCTCTTTTTTCTCACTCCATGGAAACACAAAACTATGCTTTTATACTATGAAGAGTGTGGGTAGTTCTCTAGTAGTTCTATTCCACTGTTGGGAATTATTCGAAGACATCAATGGAAGCATGTGATTCATCTACATGATCCATGGATTCAGTTTGAGTATGAAAGGTATGCCCGAATCCGTTTATTTTCACTATGTAATATTTCTTATTTTTCCTACAATATGGGATGTCAATATCTTCGCCAAAAATGATTCTGACTTTGATACCATATAAAGTATGTGTCTTACCCTTCATCTGAAACTATTATGTGTTACGACTCGGACTACAACTGATGTTGTAAGTTTGTCCTTGTGGATTCCACACTCAACCACATCCGATGTACATGAAAAGATATGCGATGAAGAAAAAGAAAAAAAAAACTCAATTAAGATAATTCGTAAATAGCTTTCTTCTCTTATTGTGTTATTGATTGATGCATATTATTTATTTATTTATTTAAGTGTATTGAAACTAAGAATCGACCGTAGCCAATTTTTTTTTTTAGAACATCAAGCCTTCAAATCATCCTCCTCATACTAAAACATCCCATGTATTAAGAAAACATAAAACATAGAATAAGAGTCGTGATATACACATACTTGAACATCGCCTCCGATTCACTGATAGCGTAAATTTTCACCTCTACCCAACCAGTTGAGCAAATTAGGAGGTGTGTGCCTACCCGATGGGTGTGCTCTAAATCGATGAAATATAAAGTTTAATTTTGACTTAAAATATATATGTTGTGCCTTGTTCAAATAGTAAAGATGTTTATTAGACCTATAGCATTGTGTTCAAGCCCCATTCGCTTCACTATATAATTTGGTATTTTAAATAATTGTTATTTTTTTTCCATTTATTAAAATTGTTACTCTTAAAAATTTCATACTAAAAAGACAATGCGGCCTAACGTTTGATGAATTTTTTTGATCGTCCAAATACAAATTTTATTAAGTCAAATAGATAACTATTTCTTTGATTATCTTGATGGTATTGCCCACTACAAATTGACATAATTAAAACTCTTTTTAATTTTATTCTACAAGGTAATCACAAGTAAATAATTCTTTAAGTATTATTTGCCATGCATATTAATCTATTTCAAGGGTTCCTTATATCCTTGAATTCTTCGGCACGTCCATCAAATTTCAAGAAACTATAAACAAAAGGAGTAGGATACAGAAAATTGAAACACATGTTAGACTGACATATTTGTTCATCCAATTGTTCCCATTCTAATTTGTAATCCTTATTTTCACCAACTTTTCTTACGTACAATATTTGGATCATGAACTTGTAATATTATTTAAAGATGGTGATGTATTTTATAGTTGTCTTTTGTGTTCTCCCATGTATTAATCAAGAGTTGATAGAACAAAGCCAAAGCTTGATTATCTCACATTCAATATAGAAAAGCAGTATAGTTGAAGGAAAAAAAACTACTTACACCAAATAAAATAAATTGAGGTAAGCAATTCTACTCCAAATTTGGGTAATCAATTCAATCAAATGCCCAATTCTTCCAACCATACCAAACCACTAACCAACATATCAACAGATGAAAATTTATGGTTAGAAATATTCAAGACGTGTACGTAATGATGGAAACAAAATTGGGTCAAGTTGATCAAAGAGACATATTTTTAAAGTTGAAATAACATATAACTTGATCAAATTAGCAGAATCATTGCTCAAACTAAATAACAGATAAGTTGATCAAACTATAGTGGTTCACAGAGTCCTATGGATTGAGTAAAAATAAACTCCAAGAAAAAATACAACACAAAGCAACATTTTCCAGTGGCATTGCTGCAGATTTAAGCTAATCAAACAAACTACAACTGTGGTATTATTCTTCTCTGTCAAATCCATAACACAAAACTCAAACCCATAAAATAAAAATCAAACCCATAAAACAAAAATCAAACCCATTTTGGACATGAAGAATTTCATAATTTCATAGAAATCAAACACTTCAACCAATGAGCCCTTAACCGAAATTAATACAAAAATAAACTAAAAAAGCATATAAACCCTAGATTAAGTGTGAGAAATGGGAAAATAGGGGAAGAGAGAGGGAGGGGGAGAGAGAGGGAACCCGAGAGATGGCTTGATAGAGAGAGAGAGAACCAGATCATAACACCCAAGAGAGGACCGAACAGAGAGAGACAGAGACAAACATGTGATTTGCAGCAGTGTTGGTGGTGATTTTGGTGTCGGCGGTGGTGGTGGCGACGTGCGACGGTGGGGACGGACGGTGGTAGTGACAATCGGTGGTGAGAGGGCCTCTGGTTTGTGGTGAGTGGTCTGTGTTTGTGAGACAAAATAGATTCAAAAAATATGTGCGAAATAGGAAGGCGCGCCAATTCATAAGCTTCCCTCCAATTGTTTTTGCCTACTTTTAGCGACTAAATTCTGTTTAGTCGGCAAATAAACGTCTATTGGTCTAATTTGGCTCATCCTCCTCATACTAAAACATCCCATGTATTAAGAAAACATAAAACATAGAATAAGAGTCGTGATATACACATACTTGAACATCGCCTCTGATTCACTGATAGCGTAAATTTTCACCTCTACCCAACCAGTTGAGCAAATTAGGAGGTGTGTGCCTACCCAATGGGTGTGCTCTAAATCGATGAAATATAAAGTTTAATTTTGACTTAAAACATATATGTTGTGCCTTGTTCAAATAGTAAAGATGTTTATTAGACCTATAGTGTTGTGTTCAAGCCCCATTCACTTCACTATATAATTTGGTATTTCAAATAATTGTTATTTTTTTTCCATTTATTAAAATTGTTGCTCTTAAAAATTTCATACTAAAAAGACAATACGGTCCAACGTTTGATGAATTTTTCTGATCGTCCAAATATAAATTTTATTAAGTCAAATAGATAACTATTTCTTTGATTATCTTGATGGTATTGCCCACTACAAATTGACATAATTAAAACTCTTTTTAATTTTATTCTACAAGGTAATCACAAGTAAA